AATACAAAACATTGAGCTTTTGGATGACCTGCATGGAAAAATTGTCAATATTTCGGGACGTCTGTCAATGTAACTCGACGAATAGAAAAATAAACTCTGAATTTGTACTCTTTTCGATCAGAGTCGAATAGGCACGCGTTATGAAACACAATATCTATCTAATCGATTGGTATAAACGTCCAGCCAGGCAAACAGAACGCATGCAACATTGTCAAAAGTGAGTGTGTTTTTCTTTGACTTTCTATGCGAACGCTTGCTCGTGAGCTCATTCGTCTCCCTATTCAAAGATTGATTCTTCTCGAAGTATCGATAGGGAATGCTATCGAGAGATTGATCGATTAGTGTATGGTGTTTGGACTTTTTTTAACGGGCAATTTCTACATAAATCGGAACACAAATGACCCGAACACACCATTTCTTAGTACAGATGGAATGCCAAAGATCTTCGCGAATCAAAGTTCAGTTTGGTTGGTGAGCATGTCTCTTTTTTTCAAAGCCGACCTCAACATTTTTTTCTTCTTTCAATTAGGTTCTTGCTACAATTGAAGAGATTTCGCCGCTAACCCGCGAATTCAAATGAAACGGTATCCTTCTCGTTCTTTCCCACTCACTATTCATCCTTACTGCTGATATGCTGCTCGGAAAGATCGTCGACGAACTTCGAACTTTGCAAATGGACGGTATTTGAGTGAGTTTGGGCCGAAAAAGTCGTCCATATTTGATTTTTTTCTCATTAGCTAATCTGCCTCTTTTCTTCAGGTCAACAAACGTTTGACTTCTCAGATCGAACTTTCAGGGTCGTAAATGATCATTAATGGAGAAAAGCGAAGTTATACAGAGAATCGTAAATGGATCCCGTATACGAACAAAGGTATATCGTACGAAGCAACCAGAAATGGATTCCATATACGGAAGTGCACGACTGCCGTATAAGATCGTATATTACCATGCGCTCTCATATACGGTTGCAGTACGTTTAATGTTATAGAATAGTTGTGAAGGTCGCTGAACACAGTTCACTGAACAGTAAGTATTTTATTTTTTCTTATTTCAGATTATTATAATGTATAGGTCAAGGAACCGTAAGTATTTGCATTTTTTTATTTATTTCAATTTTTTTTATTTTAGGTTATTTTGTTTTATCAAAGTAATTCGATGAAAAAGGGCAGGGGAGGAAGAACGTAAAACCGATTGTTTACAGCCTCTATTTTTCTCTGTATTTCTCCGTGTACGGGCGTAAGCGATCGTTTACGGAGTCTGTAATCGCCGACTTCGGTTAGCAATATAATTAGCGGTTGACAATCTGCCTGCTCGGACAAAGTGCAACAAAATAAATAACTATGCTGGATATTTCTCGTGTACGTGGTGTTTGTTTGAAGGTATTTGTTGTACTAGACAAAATCACGAATTTTATTCGTGGCTCGATTTTCGTTTGGCTCTTCTTCATTGACATACACAACTACGCACCTGCCAGTGTGTACAAGAGGCCGAAAAATCAATGAAGCCATATGGCGTCATCGATTGATCGCCTCTCGCAACGATAATTTCCCTACCAAAACAGCTAGTGCTCCACTACCTCCATCTATGTCTTAATGAGATTCAAATGAATCTCGTATTGAAAAAATGAACAAGTATTCTATCGAAGACACATCAAACACCAATTGATCAATATCTCAATCGACTTTGCTATCCACACATCTTTCGTCGACGCCCGAGGAACTTCCCCATGTACGCAAAGTGAAAATCAATACAGCTGAGAAAGTTTCTCATTTACGTTGCTCTGTCGCTTGTTGTTCTTCTACGATCCGCTTTACCGGCAGTCATTGTCACGCACTTCTCGTTATTCATGATATACGTGCGAACACTTCGCTTTTTTAGCGGTCAAGATGATGTGCGTGACATGCACAGCTAAGTTATATATCTACCTATTTGGAACAGTTTCCAGATATCTATGGTCAATGCAGCGAACTCTTTTCTACTCATGCTTTACTTCACTTGTGGTAACAATGTCTAGATCACGGAGCTCTATTTTCAGTCTTCACAAACTGGCTCACGGTACAGCAGTCCTGAGTACCCAGATAACTTTCTGGTACACTATTAGCCGGTGCCTACATTCAGACAAAGCCATGTATTTTTCGTACATATTCGAAAAGCAAGAGTTCCGTAATTGTTTTTTTTTCAACTAGAGTGTTTTTTTGTCAAGTTGAACATGAATTCGATCAGCTGTTCTTTTGTGTGTTTGGTGTGAGTCGTCCTTCTTTTTTTCGCTTTTCTTCTCGCTTGGAATACGGTGCTTCTTTCTTTCATTCTCTCTCTTATCATTTGAGAAAGGACTCCACTAGTTTTTTATGTTTACATTGAGAATACTCATTAAGTTCTCTAGTCGACTTGTTATTTTGCATTTATTTTCTCTTGTGTGTAAATGTCTTTTTCTTCCATTTCATGACGAACTTTCTCTGTGTACTCAAATTGAACGCGAACTGGAGCACAATTGAATCGATTAATGAAGAATTTCTTTTTTTCTTTTCTCTTTTATAGATCTGATTGTCTCGCAACTCTGCCATTAATTCTTCGTCTTATTTTCGATTTCAAATAATGCTAGTCGCTCAGCTTTCACACATGGCCACTAGCGATCGAACTTGGAACAAAACTATCGGTAATAAGCTTGTACAATCTCAACATCTCTCTCAACAAAATTACGCCCAAAATAGCAACACAGCCTTCGGCGATGATTACGAAGACGACGATCAAGAGAACGAAAACAGCAGTAAAGAACTTCTGTCTTAAATATATCATAATGAGGATGTCTTTATCTTGTAGACATTTATCCAGCAAATTTCAGTAAAGGTTATTTACGACCTGTTGAAAATCGCCACGTGTTGATACCATCAGCATGTCACACTAATAAACTTATTATGTCCTTCGTGGTCACGAGATAAGGGAGTCCACTTAGTTAAGGGAAAGTCTGAACGCCATCATGGAAATACCCGAGATCGAGTAAATGGAGAATTGAATTGGTTAGACGAATGACGATCGGCCAATGCCATTTTTGGATAGTGATTCAATGGAATCAATCAAGGGCTCACTGCCTAAAAGCTAGAGTAAAGAAATAGCTGCAACTACAGAACAGTGCTATGATGAGACGCGTTTGGTTTTAGTATATCTACAAAAGTATTCAAAAAGGCTACTTCTCATTTGCGATCATAAGTCAAATAAAATTTTCAAATATTATTAAAACTCTAAACTTCAGTCAACATGAAAGTTAAGAAATTAAACTATTTGCTTTTCCAAAACTTCAAAAAGTTGATTCATTTAATTTTCAAGTTTTAATTGATATACATTCATATTTAACAATTTTCACTTTCAAGTTCGAATAGCATAAATTTTAGGAAGATGTAGGATAATCTCTTGTTTTCTATGCAATTTCTGTATTTAGTTTTAGGAAGCTGTAGAGTCCGCTAGAATATCTAGCATAAATCTAAATGAATATAAAAAAGATTTAGAAGTGTCGCGTATAGTCTGTTTGAAGTTAAGTAAATGAGGTCTGATAGTGTCACTTCTCATTTTGGAAGATTAGTGGAAGAACACTGGGGCAAAACAAAATTAGTTTCACATTTCAAGCGATTGGATTCAGGAAACTTTGACAGCTCTGGATTAATTATGAATTTTGCTGCTTCACCAAAAACAAGATTTTATAAATGAGATCTGGTGTCGAATAAATTCTTTTAAAAAGCGCCAATGAAATGTTGTTGCATTTTAAATGAAGCGACTGAAATAGGTTGATCGAGCGAGATTTTTTTATAAAACCTTTTTTGGAAGGTAGCAAGATCATAGATTTAGTTTAAGTACTCTGAATCTTAATCTAAATCATGAACACTTTTAGGAAGGTGATTTATTCAATTCTCGTCTTGAAAAACGAAGTCTAATACAGCTCGAGCATGGTTGAAAAAAAATCAAAGTTTCGATGAAGATCGAAGGAATATTTTAAATTGTTTCTCTCATGTTCCACAAACATGATTCAATATCCATTCAAAGTGTGACCTCGATGAACGATTGCCTGAAGAAAATTCGAATACCAACACCTAAATCTTTCCCTGTTTACATTTGTTTCCACAGTTTTGGTTGTTGAATAATTATATTTTGAGGTTCCAATTAGTTTCTTTCCTATGGATTGTTGATCTTATGCTGGTATAAAAACTAAATAGAGTTTCAATACAAAAACAGGATTCTGCCATTCATATTGGTGATGCGGTCCAATGAGCTCTAAATATGAGACTTAATTTAGAAGAAGAAGAAGNTATCCAGAGTGTAACCATTTCATACATAACACACGTATATATAGGAGAGAGATAGAAGAGAGACAGGAGAGAGATATATTAGAACAATGGAAAGAGAACAGAAGGAGGAGGAAGGAGAATCATCGAAGCGTGCCATCAATATCGGCACATTCATTCCTTTTATTTCATTCTATATCTATCGTAGATTGTAACAACATTTATGATAGTGATGTTGTACATCTTAATATGAACATACAGCTTCTACTTTACTTTTATTGTTTTTGTTTGCGTAGTGAAAATAAAAAATTGTTGATGTTGACAGCTAAAAGGTCACGATTGAAAATAGATATTCATAGATGACGATTAAAAATTGTGGAGATCATTTTTTAGACAAGAAACAATAAGAAAAAGTTTTTGTTTTCGAGAAAACCGAAAAATGTTATCTTAGCTAATCAATATTGTTTTTCGATATAACAAAATATTTTTATTTGAGCTTATAAAGTGAACAATAACGCATTCTATTTGTCGAAAACCGTTTTTAGTCTACGAGAAAGAATTAGACAATTTGAAGAATGGCAGAGAGCACATTCTTTTCTTTCGTAGAAGAATGTGGGTGTGAATCTCGGCGAAGAGAAGATGTTTACTCACACCCTTTATTCAACAAGAAAAACTAACAAAAAAAAACAAAATTAACAACATAAAAATGAATGAAGATGAAGTTTTTCATTCTAACCCAAATAGAACACATTCAACAGCGATTCCAGGTCCAAATGAAAGGCCAATTATATATTTATATTCATTAAAGTCTTCTGGAAAAATGACATTTTTACAAATAGGTTTTGTAGATGAATATTTCCAACGACGAAAATGTTCAACAACAACAAGATTACTACTTCCACTAAGATTTCCATAATTAATCATAACATACCAAGATGCACATAATTGTTCATGTTTAAGATCTAAACATTTTTGAATTCCTCGAATTATTTTCGGTCCACCTGTATGAACAGCAAATTGGCATGCTTGTATATCTATTTTATATTCTTCAAGTAATTTATTTACAATATTTGGTACATGATTAAATACAGCATATGGTAATTGTTTGTCTAAATATAAATGAATACTTGAATCATTAAATTCTTTTAAACGACCCAATTCTAATGTATTTTCAATTATTGCCGAACGATGATCTATTACAGTACAGTATTGATTTGGAACTTTTTGTGAGAAAATAGCTGCACCACAGGCATCACGAAAAAGAGCGGCAACTATAACATTTGATTTATCGATTGGTTCCATTGGAATAAATGGTGTCAATTGATTTCCTAATGCTGATCGAATATCACAAACAATTAATAAAACAATATTACTTTCTGATTGAAGTGCTATGTCTCGACATAAACCAACTAAACGAAAGCCTGTTAAACATCCCATTGCTTCGACATTCAAACGTTTGACAATTGGATTAAGACCAAGTTCTTTTGATATGTATATATCCATTGATGGAGCACCGATTGTTGCTGTCATTGTTCCAAATACAATATGCGTTATCTGATCCAGTTTTAATCCATTGGAATTATTAATGGCTTTTCTTGCAGATTCACATGCCATTGATAACATTGTTCTTTTTACATATTCTGTGTATTCTTGACGTTCCATTCGAATAAATAAACGATCTTCCGGTAAATTGACATAACATGTTTGAATTAGTGTTGCAGAAAATACTCGGTGAATAAAATCTAAATCTTTAGAGATTATATTTGTTTGACCAGTACAATAATTTTTGATAAACATGTCACACATTTGTGTTTGCTGATAACAATTTGATGGAAAAGAGCATGACATTCCATTTATATAAACATTCTTTTTAAAGGAAATATTTTTACGGCGGCGAGAAAGAAAGTTTTTATTGATCGATAACCATATTTTATATGCTAATGATGATGTTCCTATAGTGACAGCCAAACATAAAAACATTTGTTTTAATTCCATTTTTAGTATCATTTCAATTGAGATGTGATGTCGGAATCTAAATAAATTAAATTCATTACTTAAGAAATAAATGCAAATGAATTCCTTCAGGGCGAAGTTAATTTTGAGGAAAACAAAATTTTTTGATAGTTTTACATTACATATTTATTTGGGTTAGGTTTAAGGAAAACTTCTAGAAGTATTTCACGGGACGAAACTCTTTGAAAATTTCAAAAATAAATACTTCGATGTTACGTTAAATCCATTTAGACTTGACCTTGCTCCTCATTACGGATCTTATTCTTATACTCTCACAAACTACCAATAGTCTTTGAGTATTTCGTTTTACCGACGTTACAAGTATCAAGAATGAAAATTAGTGACCTATTTGTTTAACGGATGGGCCCAAAATTTTTGAAAAAAAGAACTTTCTTCTGAAATGGACAATAGTAGTCGTATAAAAAAAATATGTTGAGGGGAAAAAAGTAGAATAGAAACGATTGGAAATGAAATGGCCTACCTTGATAAATAGTGGCTAAATTATTTTCAATAAAATTTTGAGAATTTAATCTTAATTTAGATGGTGTTAAACTGTTTCAATATGCAACAGAGAAAAGATAATTTTGTTTTTCCATTTAATATTGCAAAAAAAGCAGAGATTTTATCTTTAAAAATGCTATTGTCATTGATGATAATGTTGTTTTTTTATTTCAGTTGAGAGTGAGTCATGATGACATTAGTTTTTCTTGTCTTATTTGATAAAATATGCTTCATCATACTATAACGCCAAAGTACTAGAAAAAATGTTAAAGCACATATCGTTCTTATTGAAATATTCTTATGTTTAATTTATTAACAATTGATTAAAAATGATCAGTAGATGTATAATCAGTATGATGTCAATAGGATGATTTATTTTGGAAATGAAAAAGTCAATCAATTAAGTGTAACAATGATAAATATTTCAATAAAATCTATTTATTTATTTATCTAGATTTATTTTGATTAAGAAAATGAGCCGAAGAAAATCTTTAATAAATTTTGATATTAAAAATAATTAATCAATATTTAGGATAAGCAAGAACATATTGTTTTCTTTCTTAGAATTGTTTTTATCATGAGAATAATTTCAGGTGATGATTTCAGTTAAAATCAATTGTGATTTTGAGAGAAACCTATTTACAACTCGAACTTGTATTGATTCATAAATGATATCTTTAAAGATTAAATTAAGAGGCACCTTTTAGTTTGTCAATATTATTGTTATGTAGTGAAGTTTCGTTCAATTAAAAACAAGATAAAGTTAATAAAAAGTGATTAGAGAAAATGAGCAGAGTGAACTGTCGTCCCAACATGACAAGTATTCATAAAAAGATTATTTTACCAAATTATTTTCAGTAAAAATAATTTAAATGTTTCTTTTTGTTAAATATTTCGCTGTATTTCAAATGGAGAGTTGAGTATTTCCTATCTATTCAAGTTAGTTTTTTTCAATGCATTTTTATTCTGATTATTTAAAAAAATGTAAAGTGATGTTTTTCTCATTACTGATTGAACCATTTGTTTAATCAAAGGAGTCGTTTTTTTCGACTTAATTCATTTCATTAATCAGTACAGAAAGGGTTATTGAAGAAAAAAAAGCAAAGAATATTGTTGAAGAATTCTTGATCGACATGCTGCTGAATTTTTGGATCTTTTCTAATAAAAGAAAAAATGTTTTTTAAATGTGAACAGTATTCGAAATGATTAAAATAGAAATTGATTTTGTTTTTCTTTAGAATATTCAGGTGACGTGAGCAAAAGATAAGAAAGAAATGTTTTTGCTTTTTGAGGTCTAGATAATAAAATGAATGTTGAATTGAGTACTGAATAAAATAAAATAAAGTAAAATGTCATTTGATAAACAAATCGTTTTTGTTTAAAACTATTTCAAATAAATCAGACTAGATTTCAATAAAACAAAATCTTACAAATATTAATCAGTTATCCTTTATTTACTTTTTTTCTTTATTCAAGTCTGTAAAAAATTCTTATTTGAAATTTAACTTCAAACATTGGAATCATGTCACAAACGTCCTTTGGAAAAAGTCCTTGACGAAATGTCCCTCAGTTATTGTCCCTCAAGAAAAGGTTCTTTAAATCTTGTCCTTTTAAAAATGTCCTCCAATGTAAATGTCCTTGATAAAAAAAGTCCTTTAGAAAATGTCCACATATAAAAATGTCCTTCATTCTTGAACCGAAGAAATTTATATAAAACATGTAAACAACTTAGATGACGNCGATTTTTGATCTATCTCGAAAAGAAAACAAGCATTGCAACGAAATTCACCATGAATAAAATCCAATATTTTCTCACAAATCCGAGTTGAATAGAGTTACGACAAACATCGTTTTTACGTGTGTCAATGCATGAGACTCAACATCGTAACGAAATAACGAAAAAATCTCGAATTTATGTGATTTTGTATAAGAGATTGTATTTAAAGATAAATCAATTTCAGTAAAAAAACGGAATAAAACTAGTCTAATTGATAACGCGACTCTTCAAAGATTCTGTCAGACAATTCTTAGAATGACTTACAAGTTTTTGAATATTGGTATAGATTGACATCGATCGGTATCCTTTTTCAAGCAGTGAAAAGTGCAAATCGTTAATTGGATTTACAAAATAGAGATATTCAACTTGTGTCGACACAAATGCGTGTTCTTCTGTCCAAAACAAGATTTGATTAAACGTGAAAAAACGAAAAAGTATTGAATCATTAATATTGTTTAGATAAAGCAAGGTAGTTTATCTCTATAAATATTTTCCTTTAGTATGTGTTTGAAAAATAAACATTAAAAAGCAAGAATCATGTTTTAAAAGTAAAAATCGATACTATTTCATTCACTGTGTTTTTCTTTATGAGATATATATCTATACGTACGTTGTTTATCTTGTATTTTTGCACATTGAAATTATCTGTAAAAATCTTTGATAATAATAGTCAAATATAGGTGATGTTATTGTCAATAGATTTTATGAAAAGTTTAAGATATGATTAAGCTGAGATCTGATATAAATATAAATTGTAATTGATTGAAGGTCACAAAATAGACATAGAAAGAGATTGAATATGTAGACGAATATTAGATAAAGTTAAGAGAATACAATAAAATAAAAAATAATGTAAAGGTTAATAAATGCCAATAATATATCTGTTAGACGATGACTTGATAAACCGATAATAAATATAGAAAATATAAAAAAAAATTTGTCGTTAATCTAATTTTTCTATATTTACATTTACAAATAAATTCAAGTTAAAAAAAAAAAGAAAAAAGAATAGCATTGATATATTTATCAATAGTTGACAATTTTATTTGTTAATAAAATAAATATTAAATTAACAATATAAATAAAGTAAAAGAACAAGATGAGAAATAATCTATCATAGATGATCATATTTAATTATCAAACTTATAGGAATTGTTCATTGTTTTAAACAAAGCTTTCTAATAGACTATTGAGAAAGAGAATTTAGATCAATAAAAAGAAAAATGTAAAGAGTTAACATGAAGATAAATATATAATATAATATAAAGATTTATTTATATATTTAACATTAAATCAAATCAAAATAAGAACAATAATTATTATATAATTATTTATTTTTATTGATTGAACAATGGTAAATACTAAATAATTCTTATTGAAAATTTCAATGAAAATTTGAAAAATTAAATTAGAATAAAAGAAATTAATTAACCAAGTTTTTTTATAAGAATTTTTCTAAAATAAGACTTTGTAAAAGATAATTATTGTCGAGTTTTTCTTTTTTTTTTTCTTTTAATTATCTGATAAAATAAAAGAATACATAATTTTTCAAGACAGATTTTTATAAAAAAGCAGCTATTTTCTCACTAAGCTAATTAATAATATTATCAATAAATAGATATGATTAATGATAATATTTTATCGACAAGAAATATTTAGTTCAACTTTTAATTCGAAATGAATACACAAGATCTTTATTAGAGTAAATCATCATAATACAGTAAACAAAAACTTATTCTTGTTAAACTTATGATAGATAATAACTGTTTTCGTTTTATTAATCATGATGATAATTTTGTTTTGTTTCAAATGTTCTATTGAATAATGATATCAACTTAATTTATATTGTCTTTTATTAAAAATGTTCAATTTTTCTAACATTAATCAAGATAAACTGACTTCGAGAGGTTATTGCTTTTTTTTTTTTTTTATCTAGACAATCGCCCGAAGAAAATAAGATAATGAAGTATTTCTTGTTATTTTATCGATCATCATCGAACATATTTATTATGTAGGAAGGTTTATTCTATTTCTTAAAAAGATCTCCTCGAAATAAAGTTTAATCGACAACATGAATCGATTTCTACAATGATTAAATTTTAACGAAAACAAAACATTTATTATATGATAAAAATAAGAAATTTTGTAAAAAAACTAATCTTTATTAATCAATTTGTTTTAATAGAAATATTTTTTAAATAAGTTAACTTGAGCTATTTTTTTTCGGGCAAAAAACGAAAATTTCTATATAAATATTTGAAATAAAATCCATCTTATAAGATTATTAAACTTTAAATATCTTTTAAAAAGTCATTGAAATAGTCAATTTTAATTTATTTATATAAACTGTTACGCTTTTTATTTCCTATGAAATATATTCTAGTATAAATAATCATTAAATATAGAATTCTCTTTGTTAAATATTTCTTATCTTTAACAGTTAATATCTTCTAGTAGTAAAAGATGTCTTATCAACAATTTGAAATACTCTTCTGTTCAATTTTTTTTGTTCAATAAAGCATTCGATAAGATATTTCAATATAATCAATAAACACGAATATATTTATCATTATTTTATAATATTTTCAATCGAATTTCGAATTTGTTTTCATGATTATTTTCTTTTTTTTTATAATATATTCATTTATGTCTTAATTCTGAATGCTCCTCCAATTATTCATAGATGTCGCTAAAAACAATTATTTTCATTAAGATCAATTTAAACATGAACATTTTATCTTAAACTACATATAAAAAACAATATTTTCTTTCATTTTAAAATAATTTAAATATAAAAAGAAAATTTAATCGAACATAAATTAATCAACGATTGAACTATGAAATGGTGACCAAACACTATTTCTGACTGTATGTTCATTGGATGAACTCGTGACCTTGTTTAAGAGAGAGAGTAAGAAAAAAAACAACGTTGAAAACAAATTTGTCAAAAATGGCACCAACCCGTGGAGCGCGTAAATCTGAAACAGTCGCTGCATCATCATTATCAATTGAAAATCAACTATTAGCTGATATAGATGAATCAATAAATTTTGATGATGATGAAAGTCAAACAAAAGATGATCAAGATTCAAATCAACCAACATTTGATCCATTTGCAACAAAACAATTTCAATCAAAAAGACGACGTGGATTTCGTAAAAAACCTCGACCATTTAGTGAAGATGATATTGAAGCATTACAACAATTATCATGTGCTAAAGCATTTTCAAAATTTCATTCACGAATTAAACGAGAAGCTGAAACAGATGAATCAATTGGAGATTATCTTAAAGCTTGTGCTTTATTAGCAACTAAATTACGTCATTGTAAAAATGAATTTTTAGAAGGTGATTATGCTGATCAACAAATTGAAAATTATTATAAAGAGCGTCTTGAAGAATATTCAACATTATCAAAACAAGAATTTTTAAATTTAGCTGAACGTTATAAATCTGATATTCATCATACAATTGATAAATGGCTTAAAAAAAGAAGTAAATCACGATCACATGCAAAAAAAGCTAATCCAGGAGAATATAAACGAAATATGTTATCAGATGCCCTTCATGCTCTTGCCAACAAATAATTTTTTTTTTCTTATTGTCTTTTTTCTTTTTTTTTTCAAATAAAGAAAATTTTTCAGATGAATTCTCTTTTTTTTAATATTTATTCTATTTATCCTGAAAGAGGAAATGATGAAATGTATGGAACAACTAAAGATGGTAAATGGCCAAAATGTTCACCTGCTTCATTACGTGATCAAGCAACTATTTTAATAAGACGAACTATTCCATGGAGACAACGTTCTTCACTTCCTGTTCCACAACATATACAATTTATTATAGATGATTTTCCACCTGGACTTAAACCTCTTTTGCATTTTCATTTTATTAAATAATAATTTTTTTTTTTCGTTTTTTTTTTCGTTTCTTTTGCAAAATAATATTCAGTTCAATGAGAAATAAATCTTCTTGTATACAAATACTATTTGTCAAATAAACGATATTTACTTAATTGGACTGATTTAAATTGATTGAAAGATAGAAAGAGACTTGTTTAGTAAAAGAATAAATTGAAGTGTTGACAATCAATATGATGAAATTTGTGGTTTATTCCGATCTTGTTAAGATAAAAGTGATATTGAAAAAATGATATCTAGAATTGATCATCAAAATTGTTTTATAATTATGTTGAAAATAATTACAGAATGAACTAATCAAATATGTTATAGTATTTGGGAAAGATAGAAGAAGAATCCTATGATGATATTAAATGTTGAACATAAATTGAATTTGATAAAGTATTGATTTCATTGTCATATAAATAAAAAATGAATAATGAATGTTTCCTTAGAAATTTTTCTAACTTTTTAAAATGACCTAATTTTCAAACCAGATGAATGATTATGTACAAAACATTTGTTTAATCATTGATTTATTTGGTTATTAAACAAAGAATTATTCAAAATAAATACATTGATTTGAATAGTGTCATATGGAAGATATTCTCTTGAATAAGAACGTTCGAAAAACTAATGAAAAGATAATGTATCTAATTAATATAAACATATTATGGAATATAATAGAAAAATCTTTCGAAAATTGGACTAATTTCTTTAAAATGTTCAAAAAATCATGTCATAATATATGTGTAATTCGTATGTCGAGTTTCATAACATAGCCATTAGGATACTTGCTTAATGAGTTTGCAGAACCCATAGACCGTTAAATTAATGATCTTGTGTCAGTATAATGTAGGCAGATGAACACTCGATTGAATATCCATATGTCTATAGGAGTTGAAGACTTTTAGTAAATTTGGCGTAACAGAGGATGGATAACCAACTCAATATTCATATATAGATATTGAATGGTGTATCTGCTGTGCTGAATATCGTGACTTGTAGCTTGTCGTTACCTAGTCATAGGCGGCGGAACGATTGTAATCTAGGAGGAGGCTCAACATTTTTTCACAGACGATGATGAAAGGCAAGATAAAAAAAAAAGGTAAGAATTTCTAGTTTTGTAATTCTTACTCTATTGAAAACATATTTCTACATTCGTTCATTTTAAAACTTAGAAAATAATGAAAAGTTTTAATGCGATATGAACTTTCTATTGCATCGTCAATACGTACATAAAAAATTTAATTTTAATATGAAGTGAATAAAACAAGCAGAGCTGAAAGGCTCTATTTACGACTAAAAAAATTTTTTAGTCGGTTTTTTGGAAATAACATCCGAGCAAATACTGTTCATATTCGGTTTATCTAGTTTTTCTTTATGAATATGACGAACAATGACATGATTTCGACATCGTTGTGTCATACATGATGATAGATATGTCTTTATTCGAGTCATAACACTAAAAGATCGTTATATATAAGTCACTGTTACGAGAACTATCAAAAATAAACGTATTAGTGTAATAAGTTCAAAGAACAAAGCGTTTCCAACATTTTCTACATTGAAAATATCACAGATAGTTTGAATTTTTGAAATTTCCTTTATATCAAAATTAATTTAAGTTAATAATCGAAAACTGGTTAGCTAATATGTTCATTTGGTGTTATAAATGGGAATATTAATGTCATAAAGTAAATGAATTGATGATATGTTTGAGCTAAATATATTAACTGCATGATTATTAGCGATTACATCCATTTTTGTTTTTTATATTTTGAAAAAGCTGTAGTTTCACACTGTAACATACATTTTGTCTGTTTATTATTACAAAACTTTTTATAAAATTGAAACAGAAAAACTTTTATGACCAACAAAGACATACGGGCACCACAGACAAATTGAATGAGTTGACTATTCTTCTCTATGGACAAGTTGCTACTAGCAATAGTTCACGATGTTTCAAAAAATACCGTCGCGTACATAGACTCTCTAACGTCTAAGTGAATGCATCTTTCAGAAAAATGCGAGACAATTGTCATTCAAAGAGATTTTAGTAACAAAATATAAACTAGGGATAAGAACTGTAACATTTTTTCAAATATTTAGACCTCCTCAAGCCTAAGTGTTTCTTTGTCTATATACCTAGCGCATGGATATTATGACGACTCTCAATCAATAAGAACAAATTGTCCGACAAAATCCAACCATTCATTTCTATGTAATATCGAAGGAAAAACGTCATTTTGATGGTTGAGATATGTTCTGGTACAGCGATTCAGAACTGGTCATTCGAAGAGTCTTTTACAATGACTCTGAAGGCAACAATTGAAGGACTCATTCGAGACAACAGCCTTTAGGTTTGTCGCCAGCATGAAAGAATCCTAAACAAATCCAAGCTTATGTTAGGTCAGCCCTCTATCTTTGACGATGTGTCTAATACCATAGCACAACCGACGACAACGACAACCGGTTCGTCAACTACTGTTCAACCTGCAACATGCATTCAACATAAATTCACTTCTTAAAGCCATAATCAAGATCATGGACTTGGTTACACTCAAATAGTCAATCTAAAGCTCACGCTGATCATATCCTCATCAACAACAGATGGCTAAACTCAGTTAAAAACGGACGTGCATACAAATTAGTTGACTTAAATTCTGATCATCGAATTATGAGCGAGAAACATTGATCAGTCTTCGAGCTCACACAGATAACAAATGCAAGCATGTCAAATGTATTTTAAGGAGTTATGACTAGACTATCCTATATATTATTGTAGAATTAAAATTTGCTGTTTCATTTCTTGTATAAATGATCTAAAGGCAAAAGAACAAATAAATGTTTATAGAGCAAAATAACTAAAATTCCTGAACTGTGAGAATATATATTTAGGATTAATCAAAAGTCCTTAAAACGACATTTAAACAATCTTGTCAGATAAGATAATCTATGCAGAAATGCAAAAACAAAATATACTGTGTTGAAGAGCCTTTTTACGAGCGTCGAATGATATATAGTAAATCCTGTTTTCATAAGACTTTGAAGGAACTAGAGTTTATTTACTGATAGATGATTACACACCAACACTCATACTTACCCATATCCACATTGACAAGATGACTAGAGATGCTACATATATGAGATTGTAGTCCGTCAAAAACTCTACAATATCGTATGTGAGAAAAAAAATATTACAAATACTTTCGACCAATACCAAGGACCACAATATTCAGTACCTATCTTACTTGGATGTGGGAATGTAGCCGTCTATAAGTAAATTGACTCAAGTTCCTTTAAAGTCTTATGAAAACAGGATTTGCTATGTACCATTTGACGCACCTCAGAAAGCTCTACAACATGGTATGTTTAGTTTTTCATTTCTGAATAGGTAGCTTTATCCGACAAGGCCCTTTAAACACCATTCTAAGAACTTTTGGTTAACCCTAAGTAATAACTTAGGTATGAGGTTGTAAACGCAAAAAGAACTGAGTTTTTCTGAGCGAGATGAAGATGAATTGGAGAATTAATACAGTTTTTAGCAAACTTTGCCGCATTATTCTCTCCAGTGTATATACGAAATGGTCAATAGGATTTAACTTAATGCCTTCTATTTGTTTTCTTTATAATCGTAAACAGGTAAAGCGAACTCAGATTAAATGAAGTAATTAAAGCCTGCGTTCCGTGTAATATATTACAGAAACTTGGAGGAAAAACACAGGTTTCTTATAAATAAATAATGATAATTCGTAAATCATGATGTATCATTAGAAAAATATTTTGTATTCACCAATAAAATTCATCAATTCAACAATATTGTATTTATATAATAATAGCTAGTATAATAATTAATGCTTCTTGTTTCTTAAAAACTAAATTAGCTGGCTCGCGAAATTACATAATACTTTAGAAGTATTTTTTGTAGTAATATCCAGTTGTTCTAATTTAATTATTGTGTACCTTCATTACTGAAAACATCAGCAAACACAATAAATATAATTTCTCTTTTAACTTATCAGCAAGATAATAGGAGAAGAAACTACGAGAAAATTGTAAAAAATATTCACGGAAACCAATGCGATCACCATTGACATCTATTGAAAATTCTCTTCACCTAACAACCAACATCGGTGAACCATGGATTTAAGTTTGATTCACCTCTGACGACGATGAATTTCATTTTACGTGAAGTCTTTTATAATACAGTAGAAGCTGCTCATATTATAAATCAACTTTTGTGGTTTCGATGTTGACGTGAAACATAAATTTATTTAATATTATGCATGCGTCACAGCAAGTTCTGGTTTTCCTGATTTTTTAAGAATCGTTCTGATTTGTTCTAGTTATGGAAAATCCTTTTCTTCGATTTTCTGCACCCTTGTAAAGGAACACCCGAAATTCAGAAAATCAGAGTTGTTCGCCAAACCTAAACTGAATGACAGTGATTTTTAATAAAAACAGGACCCACTGCGACGCATTTTTCGGGAAATATTTTTGTTTATACATTTCTCCAAATATATAATTATTCATGACTTTCCTAATTTGAATTCGAATATAAATACAGCTCAAGGAGCCTGATATCCTTTCAAAAATAAATGACAGAAATTCGAATCACTAATTTCATGTTAAAATGGCCAAACTGAGCAAAGATAACTTTTGGTCTCAATAATAATTATTATGCGAGCCACATTAGTTTTATGATAATTAACGTTTGAAAGCTTTCATTAAAGTCTTTATTGAATCAGAAGTCTGACCTAGAACATGTAACTGAGCAAATGGGCTTTTTGTCGCATAACCAACCTCTTATGCAGGCATTGTGGAGTGAGAACGTGTAGCGACCCCACCTATCCTTCTCCCTCGGAAATTCGCGATTCATACTCATCTCTGTGTTCACCATAGATCGAAGAGGTACCGGCTCGGACTTCAGATCGGCCGGTTTACCGATCTACCGGTCCTTTACTGATCTTTTGCCAGTCTATCACCGATCTTTTACCGGTCTGTTACAAGTCTTACCAATCTGGTACTGATCTAACTGTTTATTGTCGGTCTACAGGTATTTATCGACTTAACTTTTCTACTTTCATATTTTTCTTATCGAAACTCCTGCAATGTTCTTTTTGATCCTAATTGCTGCTGTACACTGAATATACAATGAAATTTCGTTAGAATTTGACGAAAATAAATTATAGAAAAAGCATGTGAACACGTTTTGTATAAGCAGTTCTATAATTTTTTTGTGTTGTACGTATAGTACTATGGCTAGAACTCGTACCGATGATCCGGCACTAGCGCGAACTTTAAGTCGGTTGGTCTATCAGTATGATAACGGTAAATCGATGAAGCCGGTATATTGACCTGTCCAATTTCATTCTTTGAGACCGGTACTAGTACTGGTCGTCAAAAAACTAGACTGGCTCCATATCTGTGTACACAATAGAATAGCTGTCGGTAACGGCTTCAACCAAACTCACACCTGAGCCCAAAATTTATCTTTGACACTTCGATCGTCATAGCATCCTTATCCTTCGTTCAGTTATTATTATAATTTAAATGAAATTTATCTTTGAAAATTTTGATCGTTCTAATATGAATGTCTTCAATCGAATTATAAATCTCATTCCGATAAAAAAAACTATGTGTGGCTTTGGCAATGTAAGTGTCGATAAAGTTTTAATTCATTTTCGAAGTCGAACTAGACAGCAACTCATAATAACTTATGAATTATTGGTCCTTAAATATTTGATTGATTTACCTACTGATTCGGAGGTTTAACAGCTTATTTCAAATATACGCTTTTCTATCGTTATAGAATTCTTAACTCAAAGAGTGGCACAACAAAAACATTTTGTGATGTATTTCAAGTATTGTACATAAGAAATATGAAATTCAACTAAATTAGCATTAAATCAAATCTCGATCTCCTTGAACATGGCAACATCACTATCACTACTAGTAACGGGAACATTCATCATGTACTGTTCCAGAAATGGCGATCTTTTAATCAAAACTTTAATGAAATTGGAAAAAATGTAAGTTGAAACCGATTCTTTACAAAAGATGCTTTCGACTTTCAAACAAATACCGTAAAAAGAAAATTATATCATCCAACAAGTTCAGTTGCACAAGAATTGACGATTGACTTGTTTTGTCCATTGAAAACATGAATAATAAAATTGAAAATAATGAATAAAGAAGTATGTTTATCATTGACAAGTACTAAATATACATGTCATTTATAATTAGTTATGACAATTTTATTTTATGATCATTTAATTTTTATTAGTCTTGTACTTGTGTTTCTAACATGAAAGATAATTCGATTTTCTTTTGAAGAATGAGAATTGCACCTCGGACTGTTGCTATATGTCGTTCAAGAATACAAGGTTCAACAGAGAAAAAAAAAGGAATTTTTTTCTAGAATTGAATTAACAATAAAAAATATTTATTTAATTTGTAACTTATTGTAATATGTCAAGTTTTTCAATAAGTTAATCAATGATTAATAGATAAAATAGGAGTTATAAGTTACGGCCATTGTTTTCTATCCAATGTTGATTAGGTGAACTTATGACCTTCACTAAGATATTAAATATAGTTTTTTTAAAAATGGCACTAACACGTGGAGCACGTAAATTCGAAACAGTTGCTGCATCATCATTAGCAATTGACAATCAACTATTAGCTAATATAGATGAATCAATAAATTTTAATGATGATGAAAGTCAAACAGAAGATGATCAAGATTCAAATCGACCGACATTTGATCCATTTGCAACAAAACAATTTCAATCAAAAAGACGACGTGGATTTTGTAAAAAAAAAAACTTCGACCATTTAGTAAAGATGATATTGAAGCATTTTCAAAATTTCATTCACGAATTAAACAAGAAGCTGAGATAGATGAATCAATTGGAGATTATCTTAAAGCTTGAAATGTTTAATATTGATTCTGTTTATTTTGAAAGAGAAAATGACGAAATGTATGGAACAACTAAAGATGTTAAATTGTCAAAGTATTTACGTGCTTTATCACATGATCAAGCAACTATTTTAATAAGACGAACTATTCCATGAAGACAACGTTCTTCAATTCTTGTTCCACAATATATACAATTTATTATTGATGGTTTTCCATCTGAACCTAAATCTCTGTTGCATGTTCATTTTATTAAAAAAATAACTTTTTTTAAATTTTTTTTCTTTTTTCAAAATAATATTGATTTCATTGAGACGAATGTCTTTTTTTTTTTTCTTTTAGACAAATCTTACTTGTTATATTAACAATGTTTACTTTGTCTTTCTGTTTCTTTCGTTTTTTTTTCTTCACTCAACCGATTGAAAAGTGAAAGGGGAGGCTGTTGTTACGAATATAACAATTGCAATGGCTGATCAATCTGATGAAATTTTATCTCGTCTTCGAGGAATATCCTCAGATGAAAAAAGTGAAATGGGAAAAATGAAATGTCGAATAGATGATCAAGCTCGTCTTATAATGATGTTAAAAAAACGAAACGATGAATATATATTAGCAAATATGGCTTTGGATAAACATTCGATTGAATTAGAAAGACAAATTGAAGAATTACGTGATAAGTTCGAAGAAGAAGACAGAATGAAAGATAAAATCGAAGAATTAACACAAACAATTGAACAATTAAAAACATTAAATGTTCAATGGGAATTAAAAGAACAAGAATTAAATAAAAGATTTTTATTTGAGAATAAAAAATATGAAAATCTTCAAGAAGATTTATCATCTCAAAAAAAAAAAATTCAAACATTAGAAAAATTATTAGAGTATGTTTAACGAATATTTTTATTTTTATTTAAATATATATATATATATATTAATTAATTGAAATATTCATTTATTAGAGAATCATATGAAAATTTCGATCGTTTTAAAAATGATTCCAAAAAACAATTTGAAGAAAAAGAGAAAATAATTAACAATCAACGAATTGAAATAAATCAAATGCAATCACAAATACGAAGTTTTATTTAACTTATTTCTAATATATAAATTATTTCAATTTTTTTTTTCCATTAAGATCTCGAAAAAATAATAGAAGAAAAAGAAAAAACTATTCAACAAATTGAACAACGTCATTTAAATGAACTTGATCAATTAAAAATAAATAAACAATCATTAGAACAACAAACAAAACAACTTGAAAAACGTCTACAGGTATTTTTTAATTCTTTCTTTTTAATTTATTTTATTGCTTTTTTTTTTTCTTTTTAAATTAGGAATTTTTAAGTAACGAGGAAAAACTTCGTCAAAAATTAACTAAAACAGAACATTTGTTGAACGAAGCGAATCAAAGATTTATGTAAAAAGATATTTAAAAAAGAAAAGATATTTGCTTGTTTTTATTTAAAAAATATTTTATTTTAGAAACGAAGAAGAACGTGTTAATTGTGATGTTCGTGTTGAAACAGTTCAATTGAAATATCTTGAAAGTGAACAAAGAATTGTAAAACTTGAACAGGTTTATCTATCTTTTGCTGTTTTTTTATTTTGTTAACAATTTAACATATTTAGGAATTTATTGCTTATAAAAATTATACATCATCTTTGTTAAACAAAGAAAAACTTTTAAATGAAAGATTACAACAGTTATTAACTGGAAAGACAGCATAATCTTTTTATCGTGTCTGTCTCATTTTTTCTTTCTTTCTCGTTTTCTCTTATTTTTGTTGTATTTTTTCTTGAATGTTAACATTGACAAAAGAAAAAAAAAATATCTTTTTAATAGAATGAAGAAAAAAAAACAAAGTATAGAGAAATTTGTTGATTGAAGTGAAGTGAATTGTTATGTCGTCAATGCCATTGATATTTGTATGGTTAGATAAACGTACTGGATATATACCAGGTGGAAATGAAAAATTAAAAGAAAAATTTCGAAAAATTCTTACACCTATTCGTCAATTTGATAAACCAACATTATGTTATGATTTTATTCATGATTCAAGCAAAGATAAATATGTTTTCTTTCTAACAACATCAGTTTTTGCTGAAGAAGAATTTCTTCGTAAAATAGCATCATTAGCAAATGTTTTCTTTATTTATATTTATGATCAAGATAATAAACAATTTACAACAAATGATAAAACTCTTTCAGAAAAAATGGGTTCACAACGTCTTATTCATTTTGATGAAATTCTTTATGAACAATTAATTTATGATTTAATCAGTTTTTATAAAAATCAAGCTGATCAACTTATTAAAGATGAACAATCAAAACAAGCTAAACAATTATTGGAATATGCTACAAAATTAATTGATACTTGTGATGATATTAATCAAGATTTACAATTAATTCAACAAGATTTAAATGACAGAATTCGAAGAATAAAATAATTTTTTTTTAATTTGACACAAGTATTACACTTTTTAACATCGATTTATTTTTAACAGATTTTATTCTAAACATATTCATTTACAAATTATATTTATATTAAACAAGATTTTGCGTTTTTTTTAAATTTTAATTAAATTAGTTTTTCTATTTAGTTAATTTAAAAAAAAAATCTTTTTATCATTTTTCTTTACTTAATCAAGTTTATCCTTTATAAAAGTAAATTCTTTTTTTGCTTTGTTGAATATTTTCTTGTTTAATAAAGTTTAATAAAAGTAATCAATTGTTTGTAGTTAAAAAAATGATTCTTCTTACTGTCTT